GGTGGCCCTGCAGCTTCCAGCTTGGGGTGCAGGGCGCAGGCAGAGGCTGGAGCTGCTGGCATTTGGGAAGAAGGCAGAAGAAGCGCTGAAGTTCCTTCTGGCCTGGCTCCTCACGGTGCACTGGCGGGACATGGCAGCTGCTAGGAGTGATCCAAGGAATAAAGGAATGAGAGGAAGTGGCTGGAAGTGAAGTTGTGCTCCCCCAGCCTGGGACTGGCCCTTTATACCCTCCTGAGGTGGGGATGGCTCTGGTGTGGGGTTTATCCTGCTGATTAACTGGGCTTGGCACACCCACAGTGAGTTCACCATGAGCACCATGGGGCTTTCAAAAAAGGGCAGAGGTTGCATTTTTTTTGTGTTGAAATATCTGAGAAAACCTCGATAGTGGCTTCTCAGCTCCTTTTTGCAGCCACCCCTTTCCCACTCCCTCCTTCCACTGCTGCAGGAGATGGTTCTTTGTTGGGTAAGTGCTTGCTCATCCCCAGTCCATGGATGAATCAACGCAGGTTGTGTAAGGTTAATATGGTTGATTTTGGAACATTGGTTCCTGGTGCAGTGTCTGAGCTCTGAGGAGTCTCTGGTCATGGGTTGTGGTTCTCAGCAAACTCCAACAACTGAGGAGTGTGTCCGGAGATGGGAATGGAACTGAGGGGCAACAGCACCTCAGGTCTCAACCTGATGGGAACTGTTCTCTTCTTCTTGTGTTTAAACGAGAATTCCTTAAAGTACAACTGGTACAGGAGAGGGAAAGAGGTGATGGAGGGAGGGCCAGGGTGGTAATGGGCAAGTCTTGGAGCACCCGCCACCAAAAACAGCTGGGGAGTGGGAAGGATGTGGAGGGAATTTTATGAACGGCATTCTCAGACCTTTTCTTTCTGTGAAAACTGCCCATGTTCCACAGAACCATCAGGGTTGGAAGAGACCTTCAGGATGACCAGTCCAGCTGCCAGCTCAGCACTACCATGAGCACCCTAAACCATGTCCCCAAATGTGCCAAGTCACCCTGATTTGGACTTACAACAGATGGTGACATATCAGAACCTGCTCCAGAAGGGAGTTTCTGTCATCTGTGATGCCACAAACCGTGACTTGGCAATTTCTCAGGGCTTCACCTGTGCAGATTTTTGATCTATTTCCTGACTCATGGGATGGCTTTGTCTCTACATGGAGCTACCAGGCTGCCCTCCCCACACCTGTTGTTTTTGCCCTCTTACTCACCAGCAAATTCAGTGCTAACAACATTGCTCACAGACACCTCTTTTCACTCCTACCCCCTGCGGCTTCCAGGAAAAGCCAAACAGGACATTTCCCTGGTGAAGGACATGGTGTCTTGGCTCCGGCACAGAGGGGATTGTCCTAGAGCAGGTGAGGTGCTCCCAAGAATCTCCTGGTGCCTTATCTGGGTGCCCAGGGGTGGGCATGCTTCTCCCAGCCCCTGCAGCCCCTGGGGTTTGTCAGCCCAAGCTGAGCACCTGCTCCTTGGAGATGGCAGCCCTCCCACAGAGCATCCATTGTGGATGTGACAGCCTGGTCAGGGAGTGAGAAAACTAAATCAGTTTTCCCAGAATCAGCCTGAAAGACTTCAGAAAGTTGAAGATAAACAATGATAACTTATTATTATAAATAACCTGCAAGTGTTGTTTTCCTACTCTCTGTTTTCTTGTTTTTCTCAAAGATTATTTATAAGAAGGGCATCTTGTTAATTAACCAACCAAGTGAAATATATTAATTAAATAACCAATCAAGTCCACCTAAATCAAAACAACTTATATAAAAAAGCAGTCCAAAATAAACAACACGTTATACCAATCAGCTTTCTGGTGAGCCTGTGTCATTTCTCACTCAACAGCAATAATCCATAGCTTTCTCCAGCCATGTGCAGGCACTGCGACATGCCACAGGTCTTTGCAGGTGCATCTTTCAGGAGCTTGTCCTGGCACACGTGGCAGCTGAACAAAAAAGTTAGTGGGACCAGAAGGTCTCAGGAGGGAAATGGGCAGTTTCCCATCATCTCTTTTTGCCTTTCAGCCAAGTTTTTTTTTTTTTTTCTTTTTATTTCTATTTTTCTCTCTGTTCTTGTAACATTTGCATTACACACCCTGAAATGACAATAACTGTCTTGGGAGTGTTTCAGCTTCTCTGTGTTACAACAAGCAGCTGTTTTTAAGAGAGAGGAGCTCCTGTGACTGAGCCTCAGGCTGTCCTAAAGAACTCTGTAAAATCCTTATGGGCACCAACCTGCAATCAGCTCCCTCCACACACTGCAAATCCAGGCCCCTGAGTGCCAGCACCATCCATGTCATTATGACTAAGGCTTTAATCTGGGCTGGGCTGGAATTAATGGGGATCATCTTCTCCTGCTGGAATACCAGCCCCAGGTGATGGCTGCAATCTTTTGGGATGCAGGAGGTGACAGCCTGGAGACCAGGGCCCTGCTCTTCAGCAAGGACAGCTGTAGGTTGGTTGAGTATCCAGAAGTGTGATGCCCTGGAAGAACAAATATCTGGCCCTGTATTTCCTGGGCTGGATGATAGGCTTTGAACTCTCTGTGCTGTGGCCCAGGTGTGGATGCAGTGGGCAGCACCTCCTGATGTCCCTGTTGGACGTGGGACCAAGTGTTGGTGTCACAGGCGATGGAAACTCCCTCCTGGGACAGATTCTGATGTTTCCTGATCAGGGTGATTTGGCACATTTGGGTGTAGGGTGATCATGGTAGTGCTGAGCTGGCAGCTGGACTGGGTCATCCTGAAGGTCTCTTCCAACCCTGATGGTTCTGTGGAACATGGGCAGTTTTCACAGAAAGAAAAGGTCTGAGAATGCCGTTCATAAAATTCCCTCCACATCCTTCCCACTCCCCAGCTGTTTTTGGTGGCGGGTGCTCCAAGATTCCTGTCAATGCCCCATGTAGTGACCCCTCACAACATGAGGGCTGGAGTGTGTCCGGAGACGGGAGTGGAACTGGGGCTGGAGCACCAGGGAAGGGTCTGGAGAACTCCTGAGGGACCTGGGGGGCTCAGCCTGGAGAAAAAGAGGCTCAGGGGAATTCCTTGACAGGAGGGGGCAGCCAGGGGACAGTCAGGCTCTGCTCCAAGGGAACAACAGGACAAGAGGAAGCAGCCTCAGACTGTGCCAGGGGAGATTGAGGTTGGACATCAGGGGGAATTTCTCCATGGGCATTGGCAGGGCCTGCCAAGGGAGGTTTGGAGTCCCCATCCTGGAGATGTCCAAGGAAGGACTGGATCTGGCACTTGGTGCTGTGGGCTGGGCTACAAGGTGGGGATTGCACAGGCTGGATTCCATGATGTGGGAGGGCTTTTCCAACCTCAGGGTTTCTGGGATTATACAGTCCCATATCCTCGTGGTTAGGGAGGGTGTGTTTGGGCAGCAGAAGGAAGGCCATTGGCTGATCTGGCCCAGGTTGCTGTTCTGAGGGAGGGAGGATATTGCTCCTTCCCTGGAGGCTGCTGAGAGAGGTGGTGGAGCAGGAGTGGGGACCCACAGCAGATCCACAACCAAGCCTGCAAGATTTCAGGAAGGAGATTTCCTCAGGGATGCACAAGACATCCTAGAAAAAACTATGGGAAACTACTGGTCCTGAAGGAAACCCTGAATCCAGTCTGTCATCCCAGCACTGCCAGTTCCCTTCTATTTCCCCAAATCCATGAGTATTTTCTTAAGAGGGTCCCTCTACTCATTACTTGAGCCTATTAAAATACGGGGAGTGAGGGCTGGCCTGTTTTTTCCAGTCACTTCTGTTCATTCAAGTGACCTTCCAGCAGTGAGATCTGTCACTGCAGATGTTTCTCGGCTTTTACTTCTCCATTAATTTCTCCCAATTAGTCAGAACCACATCTGAAAGCCCTACACCTCCTTTGGTTTTTCTTCCACCTTCTCCAAACAAGATCTTGTCTCCAACATATCCTAAGAACCTGAAGAAACACTGGATCTTGAAGACTTTCACTTTTCAACAGTGAAACAAGTCCCTTTCTTGGGTTTTTAAATAGCCACTGGATTTGTGACATTTAATTCAGTGTAGGACCATATCTGGTTCATAATTCTTACTGACCAGAGTATGGACCTGATCCTGCCCCTCTGTGTGTTTAGAGGGGAGGGAACATCAGCACCAGGACCCTGAGCCAGGGAGGGCTCTCAGCCTGCTCAGGCAGATGTTGACACTGCTGGCTCCAAGGCGTGGGTGACACCAGGGGTTTGGGATGGATGATTCACCTGAACAGGCCAGGGGGTTGCTCTGGCTCCCCTGGGAGTTAATTCCCTCTTGTTTGAGGTTTGTGCAAGTACATCACACACCTGGCACTGGGATCCCACCCCCAGGATCCAGACTCTTGGATGCTCGATGGGCTGGGAGCTGAAAATAAATGAAGCTCAGACCTTTTCCCCTATGCCTGACTCCTGCCTTGGCGTGTCCTGGTGTTTGGCTTCCAGGTGTTTTCCCTGCACAGTGGGGAGGGAATGTCGAAATCAACACCAAACCTCCCTCTGAGGTTCTGCTGGGCTGGGGTGTTCTGGCTGCTGACAATGAAATTCAGTAAATCTGAGTGAGGAGCAAAAATCTGAGCCTTTAACTGGTCAGGGCCTGAGGGAAAGTTCTTGTTACCTGTGTTTGCATTTGCTCTTGCACTTCTTTAATTAAAAGGACTACAAAATAGAATAAATTACATGTGCATTTTTATTAGACAAACTCCAGAAAGTGAAGAGAGACGAACAGTCATGGGACATATTTTATATACAAAATCCGGCCAAAAAATTGCTGAGCTGGAGCAAGCGAGCTGCAAATTTAACCCAGTGAGACTCCGCTTCCAGGGCTGAGCCCCAGCAGGATGTGTGCAAGACAACACAGCTGAGAGGGAGTTCCTAAAGTAAGACTCCTGTGGGACAGGACTTGGGGTGCAGGTGGCCCTGGTTGTGCTCACCCCGCCACGCTCCAGTAAAGGACCAGTTTTGGTGTTTTACAGTGCGTGGCGGTGACTGGAAGGAGAATTTTAGCTCCTGTAACTTCTTCTGGTGGAGGAGCTGGAGACAAACTTCATGCTGGAGCTGCTGCCAGCTCCGAGGGTGGTGCTGCTCATCCCGGGAACGCTCCCACAGTTGAAGCTGTTCCCCAAATTGCAGATCCCCCCTCCCATGCTGAGGTTGCTCCCTCCTCCGTATCCCGTTCCCACTGTTGTTCTGGTGACAGCTGCAAGGAGGAGAAGGAAATGTTTCAGTATCTCTGGGCATTGGCTTCTTGGTGTAGAGACACAGGAGTGTTTAAATAGGGTAATTCTTATGTTTTAGAGACTTACAGATATTCACTGGGACCCCATCTCCAGCCAGCCTGTTCAGGGATAGAACACAAGGAAGAGGATTAGAAGCCTGTTGATACTAGGGGGTGGGGGAACAATAAGATACATTTCCCAGAGGCCTTTGAGGAGAAAAGTAAAATCACACCATAATTCATGGGGTTTTTTTGTTATTGCTGTTATCTGGGACCATCTCCCCACTCTTGAGATTTTGCTTAGCATTCCAGAAATGCTGAGCTTCTCCTGTGCCATCCCCAGCCCCAGGGCTGGATGCTTCCCACCCACCTGCACTCCTCTCCCTCCAGAAGCTTCCTGTAGGTCGCAATCTCGATGTCCAGGGCCAGCTTGACATTCATGAGCTCCTGGTATTCCCGGAGCTGCCGGGCCAGGTCAGCCTTGGCCTGTTGCAGAGCATCCTCCAGCTCAGCCAGTTTGGCCCTGGCGTCCTTGAGGGTCAGCTCCCCGCGCTCCTCGGCGTCGGCGATGGCAGCTTTCAGGTTTGCACACTATGGAACACAAAGCTCAAAGTCCCCACCCCAGACCCAGGTTGTTCTTTACCCCTGATGCAATCCCTTCCAGCCACAGAGATCTTCTTGCAGCCACCAACATTTATCCCAGCACCAGATTTAGTGACAGTTTTATTTTTGAATGAAAAAGGGTCAAACTGAGCAGAACAGGTTGTGCCAACCTTTTCTTTCCTCTCCCTTGCAAGTCTGGGGGTAAATTGGTTAAAAGTGGGGTTTGCTGCCCTTTACCTGTTTTTTCACGCTGTCAATCTCAGATCGGAGCCTCTGGACATGGCGGTTGAGCTCCGAGATCTCCTGCTTGGTGTTCCGGAGGTCGTCCCCATGCCTGCCAGCCGTGGCCTGCAGCTCCTCGTACTGTCACAGAGAGAAACAACCAGTCAAAGGAAAATCCACCACGTTTGGAGTTACCAGGAGCCTGAGAGTCCCTCCTCCAGCCCAGATCAAGAGGTGGGAGGGTTTTCTTGGAAGAGTCGGTCTTTATCTGTTCCAGACAAGATATGAAGATAAGGGCATGGAAACCCCAGATCCTTCACCTTGGTCTGGTACCAGGACTCGGCCTCGGCGCGGCTCCGGTTGGCGATGTCCTCATATTGAGCCTTGACCTCAGAGATTATGCTGTCCAGGTCCAGGTTTCGGTTGTTGTCCATGGTAAGAACCACAGAGGTGTCAGAGATCTGAGTCTGCATCTGGGACAGCTCCTGCAAAGAGCACAGGGAATGAGGTAATCCCCTTGGGAGATGCCTTTTCACCCTTCCAGGTGAGCTGCAGACCTGGGAGAGGCTGTTACAGATCGTTATCTGAACAGCTCAGGTGTTGGTGCAACTCAACAGAGGGGAAGGATTTAGCATCTCCCGGAGGGAGAGAAGCTGTTCACTGGGGGCCGGGATGTTTTGGAGCTGGTTGTACTCACTGCTTCGTAAAGTGCTCTCAGGAAATTAATTTCTTCAGTCAGCGCATCTGCCCTGGCTTGGAGTTCCACTTTGTTCATGTAGGAAGCATCTACATCCTGGGGGATGAGAGAGTCTTGGGTGGTTTACACCCCTATCAGTAAATCAGGAACGCGCATTGTGATAACAGTCCAGGGAAGAAACCATAATGAAACTGAAGGGGTTGGAATTGTAATGGGTGGATTTGTGACTGAGTGGGTGATCAGAGCTCTACAATGAGCCATCCCACAGTGCCCTGGAATTTACTCTCACCTTCTTGAGTGTCACAAATTCATTCTCTGCGATGGTCCTTCTGTTGATCTCATCTTCATACCTAAAAGAGGACGGCACAGGGAGTTTTTGTTTGGGCAGGTAACAGAAAGATTTGAGTTTGCTGGAATGAATTTCCTTCAGAGCATTTTGCATACAATGCTCTTTTCCCTCAATGAGAGACCAGGAGCTGAACCAGTTAAAACAAGTACATCAAAACAATTAGAACAAATCCATTATTTTTTACTTATTTCTGGCCATTAGTCATCCTCTTTCTGCTGTTTTAAGCAAATGAAATGTGCTGCTCTGAAACTTTCAGACCTACTGTGTAATTTTTTCCTCTCAGTAGGTAATTTAATTAATAAGTCTTTGATCATGCTCCAAATTATTCCCTAAATGTTGGCGTACTGGGATCTGTAACTCCGTTACTGAGAAAATTTCTCTTTGAGAAAATGTCATTGCTGGGAATTCCAGGATCCCAGATTCTCCTGGATCCCCCAGCTGGTTTAAGGATGTTGAGAGGAGAAAGGCTGCACCTGCCCAGGTGAGTAGAGCGTTAGCTCAAGACTTACTTCTTTTTGAAGTCCTCAACCAGGTACTGGGTGTTGACGAGTTCTCCCTCCAGCCTCCCCTTGTCGCTCAGCAAGGAGTTCAGCTGCACCCGCAGGTTGTTGATGTAGGTCTCAAAAAGCGGCTCCAGGTTGTTCCTCACTGTTTTCATTCCCTGCTCCTGCAGCAAACTCCACTTGGTTTCCAGCACTTTGTTTTGTTGCTCAAGGAATCGGACCTGGAAGGAGAAATATCCTGAAGGGGCTTTGAAAGAACAGAGACTGGGGAGAATTTCCCTGCAAATGGGAGGGTCTGAGAACTGGCTGAGAGGGTAAAATGCTCCTTCCAGCTGGTTTTCAGAGCCAAATTCTCATCTGTTGGGAGGTTTGACTGCAGGGACCCTGTTCAGTGTTAGAAACTCTGGAAAAGCCCTTGATTTTCTGGCTTCCCATTCATTGTTTAAATTGAGACCAGATACAGGGATTTTGTGTGAAAAATGTGAGCAAAATCACATAAGGAGCAAAGAACAGCTTGCTCTTTAATTAAAATAGCATTGTTAAGGCGCTGCTTCTCCTTCCCTTCTGTAGAGCTCCCCTACCCCACTAAATGTCCAAAATATTGCAGCATTTTCCTTGAAACCACAAAAGAGCAGCTTGACCAGAGCAGGAGCTGAGCAGATGTTCTTGTGCATCAGTGAAATGTGGTGGGCAGACAGATTTGGATCAGATTTTGATATTTTGAACTAAAAATCCAAACATTTTGGTGACAGATTTAAATGTCTTTGAGAGAATTCAAGCATTGAGAAGCTGCTTCTCCCTTGTGCCAATTTCTTGGTCATTTTAGGTGGGTTTCTGCAATTAATTTGATCATCTACAAAGCTGTTCCCAAGGCTCCTGAAATGTTCAGCCTAAAGTCTCCAGAAGGGTGGGATTCTCCTCTGGAGATTTCTTTCCCTACTGCCTGTGACATGTGGGAGCAGCAAATGAGGAGGAACTCAAACACCGGATGATTAATTCATGGCAACCGCTATGAAACAGGTGTCATTCCCTGGAGCTTCCAGGGCATCTTCCAGTCTTATTCCTCACTTCTATTCCTCCTTGATCAGCTTTTGTCCTCATCAAGCAGAAAAGAAGAGTGTCCCTGTCAAAAAAATCAGATATATAGGAAAGCTCACCTTGTCAATGAAGGAGGCAAATTTGTTGTTGAGGGTTTTGATTTGTTCCTTCTCCTCTTTTCGGATCCTTTGGATGTTAGGGTCAATCTCCAAGTTGAGCGGTTTCAGAAGGCTCTGATTGATGGAGACTTCATGGATGCCCCCAGCTGGGAATCCAGGGCCACCCCCAAAGGCCCCGTATCCGTAGCCAAGGTTGGCTGGAACACCAAAGCCGCCCCCGTACACACTCCCGGCACCACCAAACCCTGCCGAGCCATAGAAGCTGCCACCCCTTCCAGCCACGGAGATCTTCTTGCAGCCACCAACATTGTAGAGGCTTTTGCTTCCAAAGCCCCCCCCGACCCTGGCAAAGCCACTGCCAGCATTGCAGCTGCCCAGGCGGGTGACGGAGCAGGAGCTGAAGCTGGTCCGGCACGTGTTTGGGACCATGGCTGAAGCAGCGCTGAAGCCACTTCTCCCCCTCTGAATCCTCACGGTGGACTGGCGAGACATTGCTGGGGCTTTTTGGATTGGGGTGGATGCTGCAGCTAGAATAAAAGAGCAAAGGTGCTGGCCTGGAGCAAGGAGTAGGAGGGAAAGGAGAGAGGTGAACCTGTGCTCTGCAAGGGCTGGGGAGAGCCCTTTTATGCATGTATGAGCCTGGGATGGGTTGGATGAGGTGGATCATCTTTCTGATGAATTAGGCTTGGCATGTCCAACAGCATTCTGGAGAGTGAACTCACTCTGCACACACGCCCTGCTGAAATAATACAGCCCAGGTTCTCAGCAACAGGGAATTGTTTGGGAATAACTGTCGCCGGTCTTTGTAGACAGCCAGACTCGTCCCCATTTCAAAGCTGGAAAGTGCCGATGAGTCACGCTGGGCACTGGCAGCAAAACACCGCTCAAGTGCCTGTCACTCAGCACCTCTGTCACTGGAAAACTTCATCCCTCGGGATTGCTTTCGCCCCTTTTGTTCACAAGCAGGTCTTGGGAAAGTTTAAATCCTTGTGCCTTAGGAGTGGGACCGGTGCCAGTTCCACAGCCAGCCCTGCAGCCAACTGTTTTATCCTGGAGTTTTGGGATAACTTTGTGATAAGATTCTTGTGAAATTTGCCCCGAGAGGTTATGGACTCCCCATCCCTGGAAGTGTCCAAGGCTGGATCAGATGGTATTTGGAGCAACCTGGTCTATGGAAGATGTCCCTGTCCATGGGACTTGATGCTCCTTAAGGTTCTTCCCATCCAAAACCATCCTGTGATTCCATGGACCACATGGAGCCACCACAGAAATTGGCAGATACAGTTTTGTTCCCATCCCTAAAAAGCTCAGGTCCCTCAAGAAATCCTGCTGGAAATCCTGCTTCTTCAGGCTTATTCCACTGTCTTAAAAAATATAATTACATTAATAAAAATGGAATATTTTGACAAGATCTTTTTGTTCCTGTGTGGATTTTGACAGCTGCCACTGAGCTCTGTCACAAACACGTGCTGCCACCTCGGGTTTGAGGGTTGGGACTTTATTTTAGCAGGATGAAAACAAACAAGCAAACAACTCAGAAATATATACATAGGAGGAAAGATTGTGGGAATGGGAACTGCTTTGACTACACTGGCTCTGTGGAAATGGAGTGCTCCGGGGCTGTTCTCAATGCACACTTAATGAACACAATGTCATTTCCCAAGGATTTAATCAGCTCTTTCAGCACATCTGGAAGTGTGATCCTGCCTGCTGAAATCCACTGGAAAGCGCAGGATTCCCTCTGCCCAGGACCACTCTAGGACATCCTGGGTCTTTCCCACCACAGGTACCAGCACAGCCCTTTGTATTTAACAGATGGTTTGAGTAAAAATAAAAGATAAAAATGTAAAAATTAATTCATTTTGAGGGACAAAAAGTGCTTGTGGTGTTTTGTGTTGTTCAGGAAAACAGGATTTGTATTTAATTTATTTATACAATAGGCTGAAATTGTAAATGTATACTTCTGAGCAGCTTCCCCTTGTGCTGGCTGCAGACCAGTGCAGCTGCTGCTGCAGCACAGGAAGAATGGAATAATGAGGAATCAACAGAATAATGAGGAATCACCCTGGTGGGGGCAGTTGTGCTTCCATCTGCCCCTGTCTGGTGATGTGTCCAAGTGCAGGAAACTCCCAGAAATTTTTTGTGTCCGCCTTGTTTCCCAACTGTCTGAGGGGCGATATTTGCAGTGGAGGTTTTAAATTTAATGTTATTCTTAGGCAGGGTTTGTCAGGTTGGTTTTATGTTTATTGCCAGACTGAGATTTTATTGCAAGGAAGGGCTGAATCCTGCAGGTTTTACACAGTGAGGCCATGTCACTGGGTCTGACTCTGGACCCCTGGGAGCTGGATGCAAACAGATTGGAAGCAAAGTCTGTGTCCAAAGGGCATTTTTGAAAGGATTATTGATCAGTCTGGGGGCTTTGCCCACCAACAGACAGACATCAGGACTTGAGGTCATGCATTCATTCCCACATGCTGGATTCCAGTCCCAGGCAGAAAGATTTCCAACTGAAAAAAAAGGGAAAATTAGGTTGGGTATTGGGAAGAAATTCCTCCCTTTGAGCGTGGCAAGTCCCTGGCACAGGGTGCCCAGAGAAGCTGTGGCTGGAGGTGTCCAAGGCCAGGCTGGACCAGGCTGGGACAGTGGAAGGTGTCCCTGCCCATGGCAGGGATGGGATGGGCTCTAAAGTCCCTTCCCACCCAAACAACTCCATGACCATAGGCATTCAAAAGCAGCTGGAAGTTGCCAGCCCATGGCTCCTTTGGGAATACTCTCTCAGCTCTCTCCATCTCCCCCAGCTCTGAGTACCTGAAAGGAGTTTTATTCCAATTTTTTCCAGTGGAGATCAGCACCAAAGGGCAGATCTTCCCTCCCCAGGGAGATACACAACGTGGGGAGTCCGTGTGTGCAGGGCAGAGCTCCCCCAGTTCTCCCAGTGGGATGTGTCAGTGCTTTCCTTTTTCCCCTCAGGCTCCCTTTGCATCTGAAACTTGTCTTTTTTTGGCTAAGGAATCCACTGAGTGCGTTGGAGCCCATGGTTAATAACAGTAGTAATAATGCAGCTCCTCCAAGCAACTGAGAAGGAATTAATTTCTTTCCATTCCGTGTTCTGCCAGGGTGGAGGTGATGTGGTCATCACTCATCCGGAAGGAATTTCAGAGGTAATTACAAAAGGCAGAACTGGGAGCACAAGGAGCTGTAGCTACAGGTTCGGGGTATGGGCTGATGGAAAGGGGGGTCCCCACCCTGCTCTGTTGATGAAACACAGAGTTTCCAGGTAGCTCCTGGGGGAGTGTCTCCCATGCTCCTGCAGCTCCAGACATGGAATGGATTTGCTGCTCTGGTTCAGGGACCTCCTGGTACAGAGGCTCCAGAGGATGGTGCTGGAGCTCACCCACTGCTCGGGAGCTTTTCCTCCTGATCCCACCTCAGGAGCTGTGTCTGGGCAGGTCCCTCTGGCCCAGAGTCCCTCTGCTGTGAGAGAAGCTGGGGAGGTTCTGGAGCTCCCTTCCCTCCCCCTCCTCGTTTCCTTCCACCAGGATGAGCAGTGGCTGCAAGCCCAGAGCGAGAGGCAGGAGAACACTTTACAAACTCTGTAAGCCTGGGAGTAAAGTCATGGCTGAATTTGCATCTGGCACCATGCTGCTGTCAAGGTAAAAACTTCTCCTTTGAGATTAGGGAGTTCTGCCTCTGTCAGGGCAATAAATGCTATTCCAGCCCCTTTAGTGAGAAATCTGAGCCATTTTACTGTGGTTTAGTGAACAGGGATGTCTCCAACAGCTTTTCATCACCTCCTCTCCATCCCTCTACTCCGCTGCTCCTGTCCAGAATCCACCTCAGAATCCTTCATCTGATGCAACTTCTGAGGCTGAAATTTTTGGATGTTCCTCTCTGTGTATTGTTTGCAAAAATAACCATATTTGTAAAACAAGAGCATGTCAAAGTACCTTGCATTGGTTCACCTGTGCTACCTAATCTCAGTTTAATTATCAGCAAAGTCAAGGCTGTAATTTAGGTTAATTTCTTAAATTAAAGCCTTTGGGTTAAACTTGGGCTTCCAAGCTAAATTCAAACCCGACTCATTTCGGGCGTAATTTACTATTTCATCTCACGTTAATGAAGGCCAGCAAGACTGAGGTTTTTCCACAGGAGACCACTGAACTCACAGCATCCCTGTGCCGTGGGGCCAGGCCCCTCTGAGACCTCCTGGGTGGGAGGCGAGTGTCCATGAATCCCATTTCCCGAAGGGATGAATTAGGACAAGCTCCTCTGAAGTTTTCCCATAGGTGTTGCCCTGTGCTGGGTCCTTTGAGCCTGTTCCCAGCAGTATCTGGAGGCCAGTCAGCTCCAACTCCTGGGTGACTTTGAAGTGTAGGTGTGACCTGCTTTCCCCAGATAATTGTTTTCTGTGCCAGCATGGAGACTGGGTGCACTCCAGGCTTTGCAAAGCTCCATCACTGCTGCCTGGCACATGCCTGGGAGGCTTGTTCTCCCTGGGGTCTGCTGCATCATGAAAGACCCTCAGATTTTGGAGGGGTCTGGTATCTCCTTTAGCCTGTTCTGGTGCCTGGCTAGTGGCCCCTGAAGGAGCCTGGATCCTCCACATGTCCTTGTAATGCCTTTGGAGAATCCCCTGCCCTGGGCTGGGCTGCTGGGGCTGTGACCCCACATGAACTCCAAAGGCTGATGGTGGTCACAGGGTATTTGTCCTATCCCATCCTTTCTCCTGGCCCTGGGGCATGTCTTTTCTCTCAGTAAAAAACACAGAGCCCTGGAAATGGTGTTGCTGGCGAGTCCCACAGTTTTGGCAAGCTCTGTGCACATTCCACATCCCTCAGCTCCATCCTGCTCCTGGTTTGCTTTTCCTTCTGAAGACCCACAGTGCTGGTGTAGAGTTTAATTTCTCCCTGTTAAAACAAACCTGGATCAGCACAAGGAGCTGGGAAGACAAACAAGGATTATCCGTGTGTCCTGTAAAGTGGATCCAATCATAGGGCAGCGATTCCAGGGGACCTTGTGTTTATTTACCACTCGGCTGTCCCAAGGGATTGGTTCCTGATCTCCAGCTGCTTTGGGCAGCAGGATGTTCCTCCAGCTGAGCAGATGGCAGCTGGGAATATTGTTCCACTCTGGATTTGCTGCATCCTGTGTTGCCTTCCCTGCAGGCATTTCGTGTCTTGTTTCATTTACAGCCTGTGCAAATAAACAATTTGCAAAGTAAAATAATTTTCTTTGATGGAAATTCTGCTTTTGAGTCAAAAAAGCTGCAAAGTTTCATTTTGGAATTGTTAAGGGGAGTTGGTTCAGTGTTTTGGGACAAGATCATTCCCATAGGAAATGTTGAAATTAAATGCTGGGTTTCAGAAAATGTTTCACCTGGTGTTTTGGTGGCAGCTAAAATCATGTGTCACATTTGACTTGAATGTGTCAAATTTTTCAGGTCTCTGCAAATCAGGAGGATGGAGGAAGTTGAATACAGTTTTTTGCATCTGCTCTGCAAATTCACAAGGAAGATGTGCCAGGATGGGCTCTTAGAACACTTCACTGGAACCCAAAAACACACAGAGCTGCTCAGGGCTTTTTTGGCTGCATCCTCACCCTCAGCGTGCAGGAGACAGATCCAACACTGGCTCACAGAGGCTCAGGAGCTGTCCTGGTGCCATGGGGATGGGTAAGGATTTGGCAAAGATGTTTCATGGAGAGTTCATTGGTGGTGGACCCATGTGTTGACATGGCCAGTGGTCCAACGTGTTGTACAACTTGGGTTAAAACCCAGACACCATCAGATCTGACATTTTCAATAATAAAACCCAACAAATTGGGCTGCTCTGCCTCCAACCACCACCTCAGCTCTGGGGCTTGTCCCCATTCCCTCAAATCATTCTAAGAAACACGGCCAGATGCTTGAAAAGTGGGTGAAACTCTTCAATTAATGGAGCCCAACCATTCACCCACCATAAAACCTCCTATGGTGCAAATGGGCTGTCCCAGCTCTCCCAAGACATCATTCCATGGCTCTCCCCAGGTGCTGGAGTGGAGCCTCAGGATGCTCACCCCACCACAGGAGCATTGGGCAGGACCATCCCTTTCCCTGCTCTGGGTCCCCACCTGCTGGAGATGCTCGGCTGGCTTGGCTGGGACTCTCACACCTGCACCAGGTGATGGACGAGGGGGTCCCATTGGTGTGGGAGCTTGGAGGCTTTTCCCTGGAAAGCCCCTCTGGAATGTTGCACGAAGGGCTTTTTCTGGCAGACCTGGCTTACAGCCCCTCTGGAGGTTGCAGGGATTAAGGGATGGGTTGATGGGCACTGACCATCTCCTTTTGGGACCAGCATTCCCAAAGGGCTGTGGGACCTTCCTCATCTGCCTCCCTTCTGCCCTGGCTCTTTCCTTGCCCATGGCTCTTGTCCTGCCATGGGGGCTGGATTCCCACCTTGCCTGGTGCTCCCCATTCCTGCCGGGATCCACACCTGGCACTGGCAGGAAGCAGGATCAGGAGATGCCTGTGGAGCCACAGGAAGGAGCCCGGGGCTGGTATGAGATCTCAGTTGAGACCCCCCCCCAGCCCGGCAGGTCATGGAAACCTCCTGGACAGCTGGGTGGGAACTGGGAGACTGAAGTGCTGTGGGCACCTTGGCAGACCTTGGGTTCACTCCAAATGAGCCTGAGGCTCTGAAACTGCCCTTGCAGATGAGCAGCCAGGATGTTTCATGGGATATTTGCACATCCCAGAGAAACCTCAGTGTGCAAACAGTGTGTGTGCAGATTTTGGGTGCCTTCACCCTGTGCCTGCCCCTGCAGCTGCTCTTCCCAACCAGGGCAATGCCCACCTGCTCCAAGCCCTCCCTGCTGTGTGCCAGTCTCACTGTGTCCTCGCCATGGTGCTGATGCCAGAGGTGGGCTCCTCTGATGTACAATTTACTCCTGCTTGTACAAACTAATGGCTGAGCTATGCCCTGCATGAACCAGCCCACGAATCCCAAATAAACCCTTGGGAATCACCTTCCTTTTCCCCACTTCCGTGCATTTCCTTCCTCCTGCAGTGACAGGCAGAAAGAGCAACTTTGCAGTTAACCACTGCAGTGGGCTTCATCCAGCTTTTGGCTCTGTTCTGAGGCAGCTTTTCCTTTGTGTGCCTCAGTTTTCCATCCAGAGAATCATGGAATAATTTGGGTTGGAAGGGACCTTAAAGCCCATCCAGTTCCACCCACATGCCATGGGCAGGGGCACCTTCCATAGACCAGGTTGCTCATCTCACCTTCCTTTCCATTTGCCCTGACTTGTCCTAGAGCTCAAGTCCTAAAACTGAGATTTGTTTCCTCAAGGAGCCAATCCTGTCTCAGGAACTGCCCTCAGGGTGTCCCTAGTGCAGCAGGGACATGGTACAGACCAACACCCACAGCAGGAGGAAGGAAGAAAAGCCAAAACCCAGCAGAGTTTAAAAATTACAAATGCTCTTTTATTGGACCTTACAGTAGGTTAGGCAGGGAAGTGAGAAGGCTGCAGCCACGAGGATGACTAGTTAGAAATCTTATACACACAAAGCAAAAACCTTTCCCATAAGTGCCGGAGAAAACAGAAGGGGCTGGAAGAAACCTTGAATTGCAGACAAAACCTTTGGAGGTTGTAACATATGTTGGGGGGCAGAGGCTTTTAGAGCCTCGTGGAGGTGTTTTCACTGCTGAGGACCTGGGACTGTGGTTCCACAAGGCTGTGATTCACCCTTGGAATGGGATGAACGAAATGGTTGTCCCTGTTCCATAGTGCTTCCAATTCCCTTTGAACGCCTGACTTGGAGGAGAGACCAAGGGCTTGCTGACAGAGGGGCACCACAGGGTACATGCCCAGCCAGTGACCTGTTACAACCTATGCTTCAGCCAAAGGTGCTCCAGATTCTCACAGAGGGGTCCTGGTCCCCCCTGCTGCCCCAGAGGTGAAGGACGGAGGAAGGAGAGGCTCTAGCGCAGCTATTTACACCATGATCTGCAGGGCAGAGGCCGGAATTGCCGACGGCCATGTGCTTGCCAGCCTTATCTGATGGTCTTTTTGCTGGTGGTGGTCTTGGAAACGATCCTGACACTGCCTCCCGTGCTGGTGCTGACGCCCCGGCTGCTCCCAGAGCTGAAGGAGCTGCTTCCGCCATAGCTGAGCCCCCCGGAGAAGCCTCCACTGCCGCCGCCGAAGCCTCCACTGCCGCCGCCGAAGCCTCCGCTGCCGCCGAAGCCTCCGCTGCCACCAAAGCCTCCGCTGCCGCCTCCAAAGCCGCTGCTGCTCATGGTGTAGCTGCTGCTGCCGCCGCCACCGCCCATTCCGAGCCCCCCGCCCAGGCCCAGGCAGCTCCCGCCGCCGTAGCCCATCCCGCTGGAGCTGCTGACCACGGCTGGAACGAACCAGGAGCAGCCGTGTGAGGGGACAGCTGGACTCCCGAGGTGGGGAGATCTGCAGCGTCACCCCCTTGGTGAGGGGTGGGTGGGAAGAGGTGGAAGGGAGGCAGACACAAAGAGATGGAAAGAGGGGGATATGAAGAGGTGGAAGGGAGGTGATACTCACAGACACTGACAGCTCCGACTCCTTCTCCAGCAAGCCTGTTGGGAAAGGGGAAAATGAGCAATAATGCCAAAAACCTGGTCCATGGGACCATCTAATTAGGCCTGCATGGCCTTCAGTAGGATGGGGTGTGTCTGTGTTACAGGTGAAAGGTGACAGTGCTCATTTTTATCAGTATCAGGTGCCAAGAGCTGGAGAAACAAAACTTTGCCTACAAAGTTCACCACTTCAACCACCTGTCTGTCTGCCCTGGTGCTCCAGCCCCTTGGGAAGAGCTGTTTGACCCCAAGGAGATGGTCCCTGGTCAGCACACAGCAGGTCCACGTGTCCTCACCTGCTCTCCTCGCCCTCCAGCAGCTTCCTGTAGGTTGCAATCTCGATGTCCAGGGCCAGCTTGACATTCATGAGCTCCTGGTATTCCCGGAGCTGCCGGGCCAGGTCAGCCTTGGCTTTCTGCAGGGCATCCTCCAGCTCCGTCAGCTTGGCCTTGGCGTCCTTGAGGGCCATCTCGCCCCGCTCCTCGGCCTCAGCGATGGCTGCTTGGAGGTTGGCACACTGGGAGTGGGGAGAACAGGCAGTTGTTTCATTTGGGCTCCCCAAACTACTCACTCTGTTGCTGGGGGGTTGTGGACAGTGGCTGGTGGCCCTCAGGATGGCACTGAGGGCTCCTGATGGGATCTGGCTCTTCCTGCTGTGTCTGACCACCATCATGTCCCACCCACCTCCTCCTGCTCTGCAGGACCATCCCTCTCCTACCTGTTTCTTCACACTGTCGATCTCATTCCGCAGCCTCTGGACCATCCGGTTGATCTCTGAAATCTCCATCTTGGTGTTCCTCAGGTCATCCCCGTGTCTCCCAGCAGAGACCTGGAGCTCCTCGTACTGGTGCAGGGAAAGGAGGAAATCACTGGTGAGCACTCGGAGCTCAGGGAAGGCTGAGGGGACTTCAGGGGACAAAGTGCAGGTCTGGATGAGGATTACGGGGACAAGATTTCTCTGAAATCTGCCCATGGAATAATGGCACTTGCCCTTAACTCTCAATATCTGCTGGGAAGGCAGTGCCTGATGGCACAGGGGACCTGGGCATTGTCACCTACAAGAACCTGGAAGGGGAAGTGTTTAAGGCCAGTTCTGCCAGTGACTCTGTGAGCCCAAAGTCAAAACTTTTGAACATCTCGTCCCTGTCTCCCTGTCTCAGCTGATGGGAAATAATTTCTGATAATTTCTGACCACAGAAATCAGTCTGTCACCCCGGTTACCCACCTTGTTCTGGTACCAAGCCTCAGCCTCAGCGCGGCTCCGGTTGGCGATGTCCTCGTACTGCGCCTTCACCTCGGCGATGATGCTGTTGAGGTCCAGGTTCCGGTTGTTGTCCATGGACAGCACCACGGAGGTGTCAGACACTTGCTGCTGCATCTGGGACAACTCCTGCAGAAGATGCAAAAAATGAAGTTAATGATCTGGTGTCCATGGTGGAAACCACAGAGATGAGGTGATTTGGGAGTCCTCCCCGCCAAGATGTTTTTTTGTATTTCCTTGCTTCATCTCCATTTTGTAACTTATTTCTGCATTATCATTCTCAAAAGGTTGGGACCACCTTCTCCTCTGGTCCCGTAGAGCCCTGGGTGTGGGATCCATGGGGCAGGAGTTGGGGGATGCTCTCCAGGAACCACTCACCGCTTCATACAGAGCTCTCAGGAAGTTGATTTCTTCTGCCAGCGCATCGGCCTTGCCCTGGAGCTCAACCTTGTTCATGTAAGCACCATCCACGTCCTAAAGAGAGGATACCAATGGTTTCTAATGAAACCAGAACACAAAGGGGCTTCAGGACACAAATGGGACCATGCCTGCTTCCAGGTCTGTTATTCATAGAATCGTGGAATCATGGAATTATTTGGGTTGGAAGGGACCAGAAAGCTCATTCAATTCCCACCCCTGCCATGGGCAGAGACATCTTCCACAGACCATACTGCCTTGGACTCTTCCAAGGATGGGGCAACCACAGCTTCCCTAGGCAACCTGTGCTACTGCCAGCAGTTCCTTAGGTTCATTTTTATATCCCTGTGATCAAGGTATTTTTTTAATGTAAAGCTGGACATTGACTGTGAGCCAGAACCAGGTTCTTGGGCAGGAGGCAAAGCTCTGACTCACAAGGATGTGACCAGAGACTGAGTTGAGCTGAGCCACAGGAGACCAGAAAACAGGGCAGCTCTGTTGGCACAGAGAAGGTTGTGCGCATTCCTGGCCTCAGGAGGACCCAGCCCAGAATGTGCTGATCTCCCAGCTTGACCCAGCCATGAAGGTAAAGGACCCCAACTCCCACCACTTCTTGCTTGAACTCTGCAAGGTGAGTTAATTCCATTTCCTGGCCCATAATTCCCAACCCAGTCACCTTCTTGAGGACCACGAACTCGTTCTCAGCACCTGTGCGCCGGTTGATCTCATCTTCATATCTGCCAGGATAAAAGAGTGAGGGGGGTTGGATGGAATGAAGAGGTGGGAGCACCCCATTCCCAAATCATCAGTTGTGGCTCATGGATATGTTCCCTACTCCCACTTGTTTATCCAGAGCAGACGCAGAGCAAATATTAGTGTCTTTGAACTGTGGGACTCCATGGTGTGAGTAGTCCCAGTTAAATTAATATATTTTAATCACTGCCCATAAAGTCAAGTTCATACATAAATGTGCAGATTCAGAGCCCGTTTTGGCAGGAAGCAGGAGCAGCCATTCCTGGTGACCTTCGCTCCAAGCAAAGTTATGCAAAAGACTTTCAACAAAGCTGCACTGCAATGCCTACAAATGTATAATAAAGCAATCATTTGGTATTTGATATTATAATAATGCTAATGGCTCTGAAGAACCCACTGCAGCATTTAATTAAAACAAAAAAACTCCATGGTTGTGCAAGAGAGGATCATTACAGCCCTGACAGTGGTTCTGTGGAACTTTCTATGGCTCTGAGCAACATTCTCTCATCAGATAATCAGGGCAGGGCTTAGCTAGAAAGTAGACAAAACATGGAGGCTATTGAGACAAAACCTGGCTTTCAAAGGCAGATTCGTGCCACTCCTCTCACCAATATTGGCAGTTTTCCCTGCAGCTGGATCTCTTAGTGGACAGGGAAGGGATAGGAATAAGCCAGTGGACTGGGAACAAATTCTGGACTTAAAACAAAATGTGTTCTCTTTCCCAGGAGGCAGCTCTGAAATCCAGACTGTAGAATTCATCATTAGGGGCCTAACCAGTATTTCTAAAAGCCTAGAACACATTTCAAGACCTCAAAAGCACCCAAAACCACACCAGAAGCTCTGCCAGTCCCTCCTGTTGGATCTAAGTGCTGTCTTCCCAGTCCCACTCCCAAAAATCTGTCTCTTCCCATGCTTAACTACCTAATATTAACATATTCCAGCCCTGCAGGGTGATTCTCAAATTTGCAGGCAGGACTGTTTGAAGAAGGGACATATTGTTTGTTCTCAGACAAATGTCAATGGCCTCACCTAAAAATCCCCCCCAAAAATCCCCTCCAGGCAGCAGATGCTGACTGGTGTGGCCTGAGAATGATCCATCCCCCCTCCACTGGATCCCAGCAGGAGGTTAATGCCCTCCCCAGGGAAATTTTTGGCAAAGGGCTGATCATCTTCCAGGTGATGGGAGCTGAGCGAGCCCGAGCACTCCCAGGTCACCTGGACCCTCTGGAAATTTCCTTCACAGAATGGGAAATGGGGGATTTTTGGAGCTGGAAGTTTATTGGCTACATTTCTGGTTTTGCCTATTATCCTCAAAAATGTACTAATTTTTCTGTCTCCTGGTATATTATTTCAGGAGGCTCCAGGAATCAGACTGTGACCTCTGTCGTTCTGGAGCAGTTCCCCAGGAATTCTGTGCTAAACACTGACCTTGCCTGTGATAAATGTAAAATAACAAGGGGTAATTCTGGGAACACGTTTTATGCTGGAAAGAGGAACCCGGATCAAACATCAAGTGTGCACCAGCAGGAACGAGCACCAGCCCAGATTCTCCTGGCTGGAACGACTCACGTTGCAGAGTGGGATCCCTTACTTGTTCTTGAAGTCCTCCACCATGTCCTGCATGCTCCGGAGCTCGGAGTCCAGCCGGCCCCTCTCTCCCATCAGGCTGTCGAGCTGCCGCCGGAGGTTGTTGATGTAGGCTTCGAAAATGGGCTCCAGGGACTTCCTGGTGACAGTGTGACCCTGCTCTTGGAGGAGGGTCCACTTGGTCTCCAGCACCTTGTTCTGCTGCTCCAAAAAGCGCACCTGGGGAGAAACAAAACCAGGGACATGTGTGAAAAACCTCACAACTGCCAGGAAAAGGTGGGATCACCAACAGAAAAGGTCCAGAGATGGCGAGACAATCAGAAGGGAATTATTAGCAGTGTACCAGTTTAGGGCGTTGGATTCTTAAAAGTATTAGAAGCTTCTGGAGATGTTTAGCAAGATTTTTTCAGGGGTTTTAATCAGGCCAAACACCGGTACTTGCAACTTTAATGTTTCTCCCCCCAGTAGATGTTCAGCCCACCTTACTGGTTTAAACTGGTTGTATCCCATTGTAGAGTAGAAGATTCATCCACCCCAGGATTGTTTTTACAGGGAAGAGAGATAAATACTTTGTCAATAATATAAAGTGCTGAAAAACTCATCCTTGCTAAGAGGAAACATAAAACAGTTCTTAGTTTTCAGCCAAGCCCATGTTGTTTGTCGTCTGGGATCAGTTCAGGCAAGTCCCTAAATCCAAATGAAGTTTCTTCCTGAAGTTTTTTCCCGAGGCAACTGATAGCATGCGTGGTTCGATGGTTCAGACCAAACTCTCACCTTGTCAATGAAGGAGGCAAATTTATTGTTGAGGGTCTTGATCTGCTCCCTCTCCTGTGTTCGCACTTTCTGGATTTCCGGATCGATATCCAGCTTGAGGGGTGCCAGGAGGCTCTGGTTGACAGTCACTTCGTGGATGCCACCAGGTGGGCAAACAGGGAACCCGGAGCCACCTCGGCCACCAAATCCGGGCCCTCCCAGCCCAAATCCACTTCCCAGCCCGTAGCCACCACCACCACCGGCTCCTCCTAAGCCAAAGCCAGCTCCGCCACCATAGCCAAGACCGAAGCTGTATCCTCCCCCGGCTCCACTCCGTAGACCTCCACCGACCGAGCTGTAGGAAATTCTTTTGCTTCCACCCAAGTTATAGAGACTTCTGCTGCCGAAGCCACCGCCAGCTCCAAAGCCTCCTCCACCTCCAGCTCTTCCTCCTCCAACTCTGGAGACAGAAACAGAGCTAAAACTGCTTCTGGTCCCACCACCACTACCTCCTACAATAGCAGAGCCTGAGCTAAAGCCCCTCATGCCCCCTCCAGTAGATGATCTGAAAGAGATACGGCTCATGGCTGGTTCAGTTGAGAAGACAAAGAGTAGGAGAGAGGAAAACTGAAAAAGGCTGCGCAGCAGGAAAAGAGCAGAGGGCAATGGAGACAGAAACCCCTGTAATGGGAGAGCTTGGGAGCCTCCTCTTTTATCTGCTTGGAAAACTTGGCACGGGAATTCAGAACTTGACGTGCCTTGCAGCAACTTGCCTTGTCAAACACACCTCGGCTATGGCAAGGCGCTGAAAAATGCATTGTTTGCAGGCAGGAAAGTAACGGCGAGAGGGAGCTCCCCCCTCCACCAAAGCCGCCGCTCTGAGTCATGGAATTAGCATTGAATGGGACGAGGTCTGCACTCAGGGCAGGATGCAACATGATTCCCAAGACCCTGGGAGCCGCTTTCCCTCAGGCGAGACAAGGACTTGCTCGTTTGAGCAAAGCAAAGATTTTGCAAGTCGCATTTTCAGGTTTAACACGTTGCATAGGCAAGAAAAATAGGGGCTTTTCCAAGGTTTCCAGCTCTGTGACTGGCCATGCGTGTCCTGTTGTTGGCTCAGGAAAGTTGGGTCTGAAGGTGGTTTTAATGATCACTGCTGACATTGTGCTTTTTTTTAATATTCAAGTTTGATTTTTTTTTTCTGGATCTAAATGGACATGGGCTTGAGTAGATGAGCTGAGTGGAAGTTGTGTCATGGCAGTATTTTCTGGGGTCTTACCAAAAATCATCTACCCTCATTCCAGGGGCACCTGGGGAATTAGTTAGCACAATTTTGAAAGACAGCAAGTAAATGCTTTTTCCAAAATCACATCAAAATAGATTAAATAGTACTTTCCTTAATAGAGACTTATAAAATACTACTAAAAAGCTGCTTGAAGTTATTGTGGTTCTATAGTACCTCCTTGTCAGACTCAGGGTTCAAAAGCTCCGTCTGAAGTGGTATTTTTATCACTTTTTCTGCCTCCCTCCGCCCCCCCCTTCATATTTATCCAACAGTTTCCACGTCACTGCTGGCTCTAAAAGATGTTCTGTGGAGGGGAATTCATCCACTTTCCTTCCCAGCCCCTCCTTCACTCCACTGAGATCACACAGTTGGAAAAACTTTCTAAAATAGCTCTTGCCTCTTGATGTTGCTACTGGGTGAACCCTTGTGCAGGAGTTTCAACCACCACAATGAATCTGGGTTGTGTAAATGCTCGAGAGCTGGGGTGCCTTCTCTTGTGTCCATGAAGAGCTGGACACGAGATACAGGAGAAGACATCCCCTAATTCCCACTCAAAATGCCTCCCCAAATACTTTTGTGAACTGGATTCTGCCCACTGGCCAAGGCTGCCCACCTTGGACAGGTGAAGTAATAGTGAAAGACAGAGAGATGAGACCCTGAGCAGCTCAACCAAAAAAATTCCCAAATTCATCTACGTGAGCAAAAAGTGCAGAAGCTCAATCCAAAAGGAGGAGTTTAAGCGGATCGGCTGCGTCTCAGAGCTTGTTTGTGTTGATGTGTTTCCAACCACTGCTTTTTTTCTGTCTGGGAACTTGAAAGAGCCTGAGCAGGAGGGGTTTGGTTGGGTTTCGTTTGGTTTGGTTTGGTTTGGTTTGATTGGGTTTTGTCTCCTTGCAATCAGCAGCACTCCCAACTCCCATCTCCTTGGGACGCTCCCGATTCCGATAGTGAGTCACCGCGGGCGCGATCGGAGCTGATCCCCAAACAGGCTGATCCAAAATCCCTCCTGCGACCGGGAGGCGGCTGGGCTGTAGCAAGGGGGTGCTCTCACCCTGGGAGTGGAGATGTGGGAATAACCTACTGGAAATGCAGCGTTTTGCTGGGAAAACTTCACCCCTGGCTCCATCCAAACCCAGCGGCTCCCGATTTCACAGCAGCAGCAACCTCAGCCATGAGACCTCTGGGCGCTGAAAATAACACAGTGATACTGAAAATAAATAAACTCTGCTCCAAGCATGGCAGATCCATGGAGATTTGCTTTCCTATGCCTGCCCATGTGAACTGGCACAACTGTGCCAGGAGCCTGCGGACGGGGGCCAGGCAGGGAACTTGCCTTTGACTCCCAAATTGCTTATGCAAAGTCACACCTGGGAACAGGAGCACAGGTTTTAATTAAAGTAGAGGGAAAGGATTCATGTGGAAGGCAATCATTACTTCCCCAGCTCTTCTAGGAAAGCCTGTGTTGCTGCAGACAATGGCAATTAAGTTGACTATTACAAAGGATTTGGAAAAGCAAAGCAAAGGATGGTTTAGGCACCAAAACAAGGAAAATTCTTGTGGAATCTCGCGGTCACTCACACTTTCCTTTCTCGGTTTGTGTTGCTCACATGTAATGTCCCACTGAATGTGCTGAGGGCTGCAGGGCGGCTGTGCTGGCCCCTCAGGTGGGACAGTTCCCTGTGGAGAGGCAGGACATGTCATGGGGGGTTGTCTGGGGGGTGAGGGCACTGCAGAGAAAGGGGAGGAGGAACAGGGCTCCTGTCTGCAGGAGCTGCCTCTGAGCTCTGATTTGCTATTTTTTTCAGAAGGGACTGGATAAAAGATGTTAAAAACTCTCCAGGCTGGTTCAGGTTGTGTTGTCATGAACTGTGTTAAATCCTCACACCCAACCTGTGCAATTTGGCGAGGTCAGAAATTGAGGTTACTCAGAGTTTATTTTTAACCTTCACTGATTTTTTGACCTGTCTGCAACATCTTCTGGACAGCAGAGACTGAGGAGTCTTGGTGGATGACAGTCAAGGATGACATGAGCCAGCAGTGCTCATGATCAGAAAGAATGGAATTCTCAATGGAATCCTGGGAAATCGGGAAAAGCATGGCCAGCAGGTCAGGGAGGGGATCCTGCCCCTCTACTTGGCCCTGGTGGGACCACGTTTGGAGTGATGTGTTCTGCTCTGAACTCTACAGTTCCAGAAGGACAAGGAGCTTCTGGAGAGGGTCCAGTGGAAGCCACAAAGGTGATGAGAGGTCTGAAGCATCTCTTTGATGAAGAGAAATGGCAGGAGCTGGGCGTGATCAGTCTGGAGAAGAGGGGACTGAGAGAGGATCCCAGAAATCATAAGAATATCCAAATGTCCATTAAAATATCTCATTTGAGAGGGTCTCTCATCAATCCATGCGAACATCTCCAAGGGGTGGAAAGAGGATGGTGTCAGACTGTTCAGTGATGCCCAGTGACAGGACAAGGATCCCAGAATCCCTGAGGTGGGAAAAGACCTCTAGGATCATGGAATCCCATCTGTGCCTGATCCCCACCTCATCACCAGCCCAGAGCACTGCGAGCCACATCCTCTCATCCCCTGGACACCTTTAGGGATGGTGATTCTACCACCTCCCTGGGCAGGGAGAAATCATGGCCATAAACCAGAACACAAGAAATTCTACCCCAACATGAGGAAGAATTTCTTTCCACGGAGGTGGAAGAGTCCTGGAAGAGCTGCCCTGGGAGGGCATGGATTGTCCCTCTCTGGAGACATTCCAAGCCCACCTGGACACCCTCCAGCGTCACCTGCTCCAGGTGTCTGCCTTGGCAGGGAGTTGGACTGTATGAGCTCCAGAGGGCTCTTCCAACCCCAACTATTCTGGGGTTCTGGGACTCTGAGTCTGGTTTTATCCCTGGACTTAGTCTTTCACTGAGGCTCCTTTGATTTCCTGGGCAAAGGGGATGAGATGTTTCTGTGTTTTGATGCACCTGGGTTTGAGAAAGATTTTGCTGAAACGTCTCCTTTGAACTTGCCAGGACACGCTGGCATGTCTGCTCCTGCTCCTTCCCCTGTTCCTGCTCCTTCCCAGGTTCTGCCCGGAGTTATGCAGGGCCAGGATGTTGCAAGGTCAGGGCAGAGCAAAGCATCTGGACCTTTAAAATTCAATAGGGGCTTTGCAATAAAGTTGGGCTGAGGGTTTTTTCTCCACTTTTTCTTTGTTTTATTCTCCTTTTGCAATGACTGCCTGAAATATCTGCATCAGTGCTGTTGTTGTGCTCCAGCACCCATCCCCAATGCAGATCTTCCAGATAAAGCCTCCCCAAGAGCCCTGCAGACACTTGGGTTTGCTCTGGCTTTTTAAGGAAGCAAAAATTGAATCCTGAGGTTTTGTCTGGATGCCCCAAACCCTCCCTTGCATGGAAGAAAATATTTTGGATTAATCCAAATATGTTAATAAATGAATGGTGATTAATTATCTTGTCTCTTATGGATAAACCTCCACCCTCCTTCTCTTCCTCCTCTTTCTCCCCCAGTTTTCTCCAATTCTTCAATTTATTTTGTGACAACCAATTTCAAGATTTTCATTATAATTTAATCAGAATTTCAAAGCTTTTCCCTGGAAGTAAAAAAAAATATGCCTCCAGCTCATTCTGATGAAGGTTGGAAATATTTTCTATTGCTGGTTCTGGTTTAGAATAAAAAGAACAAATAAATTACAATGTGGTTTTATTGGACACATTCCAAACAGAGAGAGGAAGGGAAACACGGAGTGGCATCACTATTACGGAAGTATAAAAAGGTGCAATTTTCTTTTTTAATGGTGCTTTCCGAAAATAAAAAGACACAGTGGAAGTCTAGAGGAGTAAATTCCACCAGAAAAAGGGAAAATAGATTTGGGATGCTGGAGTTCCTTTGGGATCCTGCTCTCGACTGCCCTGTTTCCCACACACTGGGCTGGAACCTGCTGCACTTCCCAGTTTCCCAAAGGTCTTTCTTGTGGCAGAGGAACCCACACAGAGAAGAGATGCTGGAATTCCCCCAGGAGCTGTGGACATGGCCCTTCAGGCAGCTTTTCCAGTGTGATTTTTGCAGTCTCAGACTTTTCCCACCTGCTGCAACCAAGACTGTGGGGAAAGAGAGCAGGACATGGATTGCTGGAGGATTTGGGAATTTTTGAAGACATTCCAGCAACACCTTGCATGGGACAGGACAGAAACCCCATTTAACAGCAAGCACTGATCTTGCTTTTGAAGAACTCATTGTGTCAGACATTATTTAGAATTTTAAAATCCTATAATTTAGAAAACAAGTCATTT